GACTAACGTTTTCCAGCATTCAAACAAGATGAACCCTCATAACCTGGCGATCGGCCTTCCAATGACGCATACCGGCACCAACCCTCCGTACTCATTCTTGACACTGCATCCTACGCCCCATGCCCAACGAAACGATCTATATGTCGCTCAACCACAGTGCGCCAATTTGGCTCTGAACAACACTTTCGTCTTTTGCGTGCGCCAGCATCCATCATCTCTCACAAAGTCGCCCGAACCCAGTCCTGCGATGCACGGCCGAGCGTCGCCAAATCCCTTTGCCCGTCCTGCTTCTGCTATGAGCATGCAGAGCATCTCAGCCACTGGTTCCAACTACACAAACCCATCGCAAAGCTCTTCCGGATCAGCAGACAGTAGGAGCAACAAGCCCGCTAAGCTAGCCGTACAAACACCCTCTGGCAAGATTATCCGCCTGACGAGAAAGACGGAGCACATGAGCAGCACCAATGATGCCGACGGCACGGCTTGGGAGACGATCATCAAGATTGGAGAGAAGGGCACATGGCGAGGCTTGGTACTTGCCGACCGAAGCGCGAGGTGGTGTGTTTTCGCTCAGTGGGAGTGTGCTTGATTTTGTAGCGGCTTTTCTCTTCAAAGTACGTATTATGACTTGTAATGATAGCGTTTGGTTATAGTATGACCGCGACGGCCGTGACGGCGCTTTTGCATAACTCGGCGTTTCTGTAGGATATGGGGTGTGGGAATACTATTATGGCGTATTTGGTACAAAGACAATGTTCGAGCTTTCCAATTGTGATGTGTGATGAATGCGACAGACCTTCCAGGGATGCTTCCCACCGCCATTATCTGATGAGAGACTTAATCATTGTTTTATCAGTCTGTATTGCGGGAGTCATATGTACCTCGTTGTCTATAGGTCATCGTATGGGTCATCGCGATGCCAGAGGACGAGATGAAACTAGACTTCGAGATATTCGCACACAGGTGAGTCACTGGATACTATGAATCATGATGGAAAAAGATGGTGAGTCACCTTGATCTATATAACATGCTCTGTAAAGTTGTCGATGCACAGAAGAGACAGCCCTATACTCGGTAGTGACTCGTACCTGCCAAGCTCGGCGATAAGGCGCTGCCCCGCGTCATCAGTCCACCCCACCACGTCTTTTTCCCAACCCCAAGGACTGTCTGACGACAACACCACACGCGCACCATACCCACCGCCAATATGGACGCGCAAATCGCCGAATGGCAACATCGCTCCGAGGCACTCAAGCCCCTCAACCTCAAGCAAATCGAGCCCCACCTCCTCGAACTCGATGCCCACCTCACCCTGCGCTCCCACATCGTCGGCTACACGCTCTCCGACGCCGACACCATAGTATGGAAGACGATCCGCGAGAACCGCGTTGCGCACGCCTTCATCAAGCAGGATCTGATGAAGAACCTGTGTCGCTGGTTCAGGTATATCGAGGAGGCGTATCCACAGAGTGTGGTTGTTGTAAGTGGGGGACAGGGTAAGAAGGAGGATGGCAAGGCGAAGGGAAAGAAGGAGGGGGGCAAGAATGATGATGCAAACTATGATATTGGGTTGCAGGATGTGGGGGATGGGTCGGGGATTGTTACTAGGTTTCCGCCTGAGCCTTCGTAAGTTACTCTCTCAACCATGCGAACTACTTCTAACTGTATCGCAGAGGTTACCTCCACATCGGTCACGCTAAGGCAGCGCTGCTCAACGACTATTTCGCGCACGAGAAGTACAAGGGCAAGCTCATCCTACGTTTCGACGACACAAACCCCACAAAGGAGAAGCAAGAGTTCCAGGATGCTATCGTCGAGGACTGCGCGCTTCTCGGCATCAAACCAGACCAGGTCTCATACACCAGTGATTGGTTCGACCAGCTGTACGAGAGCTGTGTGCAGGCGATCAAGGATGGGCTGGCATACGCAGACGATACAGTACAGGAGAAGATGCGCGACGAGCGCATGAACGGTATCGCTAGCGCTCGCCGTGATGCCAGCGTTGAGGACAACCTTGCGCACTTCGAGGAGATGAAGAAGGGCAACGAGGAGGGCCTGAAATGGTGCATTCGCGCAAAGATGTCGGTTGACGACCCGAACAAGGCCATGCGTGACCCTGTCATCTACCGCTGCAACCCTCAGGCGCATCACCGCACCGGCGAGAAGTGGAAGATCTACCCTACCTACGACTTTTGCTGCCCCATCGTCGACTCGCTCGAGGGCGTTACCCACGCTCTACGCACGACCGAATACAACGACCGCGACGCACAGTACCAATGGTTCATCAAGAACCTTAAACTGCGCAAGGTGCACAACTGGGGTTTCGCGCGTCTAAACTTTGTCCGTACCGTGCTGTCCAAGCGCAAGCTCACCAAGATCGTGGATGCTGGTATCGTTGCGGGCTGGGACGACCCGCGCATGCCAACTGTGCGCGGTGTCCGTCGCCATGGTGCCGTCATCCCGGCTCTCCGCGAGTTCATCCTCAAGCAAGGTCCCTCCAAGAACATTGTCAACCAGGACTGGTTCGCCTTCTGGGCTACCAACAAGAAGCACATTGAGCCTACTGCTGCCCGCTACACTGCGATTGACGATTCTGGTCGCGTTCCTGTCACCATCATTGGCGCGCGCGAGGGCGTCATCTCCGAGGACAAGCCGAAACACGCCAAGTACGATCTCGGTAACAAGAAGATCGTCTTCAGCTCCTCCGTCATCATGGAGCAAGCCGACGCGCAGTCTTTCGCTCAAGACGAGGAGATCACATTGATGAACTGGGGTAACGCCATTGTGCGCAAGATCAGCCACTCCATCAACCCCCTCGAGATGGCCAAGCACGGCTTGAAGACCGTCACTGGCCTCGAGCTCGAACTGCACCTTCAGGGTGATGTCAAGAAGACGTCCAAGAAGGTCACTTGGTTGAGCAACGATCAAGATCTCATCCCTGTTGAGCTGGTCGACTACGACTACCTCATCACAAAGGACAAGCTGGAGCCTGATGACAACCTCGACGACTTCCTTAACAAGGAGACTGAGACGAGGACCAAGGCCATGGCTGACTGCAATGTTGCCGAGCTCAAGGTTGATGATATCGTGCAGTTTGACCGGAAGGGCTTCTTCCGCATTGACCGCGCTTTTGCGCATGGTGAGGCGGTCATTGCGTTCCAGATTCCTACTGGTAAGAGCAAATAGATATTGCTCATTGGGTTTGTCTATTGAGAGCGCTGCTATGGCACTGAACAGATACCGATAAGGCAGTCTCTGTTAAATCTGCAACCAAGGGTCTCAAATCAAATCTTTCGTGTGCCACTCTCACTTCTCAATCCCTCCATTGACCTAAGATTTTTGATATCCTCACATTCGCAATCAAACGTGTGAGTTGACTCGTCTCTCACCTATCCGCAGTAGTCGTAATCCGCCCCTGCTTCTTGAATTGGCCAGATAAGCGACATAGCTTCCAGGCTCACTTTCCATGTTTCCATGATACAAAGATCGCTCCTTCCTCGCTGGACGTTTCTCACTGTCACTTTCCTCATTCACCGTTCATCGTCCATGATAGCTCATGCGGACTCATCAGAGTCGCCCTCAGCTTAATCGCTTGCGCTTTCTTCTTAGTCTTTTCTACAACTCCATCGCCCCTACGTTCGCATTCTCGGTGCATCCTCCGTTCAGTAATCGCTCTCACGCAACAATACCAGAGGAGTCATCATGAGGTTCTTCGTTCCTGCTGTCTTCCTGGCAGCATGCAGTGTGCTCACGGCTGCTGCTGCTGCACCAGCTGCCAGCATGGGAAACAGTCAGTGGTCCCACCCAAAGCGACGAAAGCTCTTGCTAAATAACTGCAGCCTCTGACATAGCTCTCGGTGATGGAATTACATGCCCTGGAGCACCCAGTATGTCACGCGCTCCCATCTCACCAGCAGCACCCAGAAGCTATACCTACACACCACTATGTACTTTTCAAACCAAGCCCACACTCCACTAACGAATCGCTCCCGTCTAGCCTCATGCGACGATACCATAGTTCTCGGACTAGGTCACAACGGGATCAACGTCGGCGACAGCAAAACCCTCTACAACGACGTCACCGTAGCCCTCCTGAAACTCTGCCCCGTTGCCGACAACTACTGCGTCAAGAAAACCGTCACCTTCCCCGTCTGGATCAGCGTCCCCGCCGTATCGTCTCCCTACCGCCGTGTTCGCCAACGCAAGAGCATCAGCGTCACAGTCCTGGACGCCAAATGGGGCGGCCGCCAGAATGTCCACGATCTCATGACCAGTACCATCGCTGCCGCATTCGAGCGTGGGACCTACGATCCGGAGAACTGCTTTGCAAGCCAAGTCCCGGGCGAAAAGGACGGGGAATGGAGGGATTGCATGACGACGGACTATGCAGAGATATTTCTGTCGAACAGCTACAAGATGAAGGTCAGGTTTCAGGGCCCGTCGAGTTGGCAGAAGAACTTGAACTGGGAATGTAACAGGGAGCTTGATGATATGTACCAGTTCTTGAGGAAGAACTTGCCGTGGAAGGCAGTGACCTATTGGATCTATTGTCTGAAGAAATAGGTCTGAGAGCGGACATAAGGTGGGATAAAGAGGGAGATGGAGGAGAAAGATAAGGATGGATTACAGTGAAGATAAGGAGACGATGGATCATGGGTGATCTCATTGATTGTTCACTGGACAAGCCTGATATCGTCTACAACTATCATATTCCCGCTCGATCTGAAATATAGCATGAAGGTAGTAATGAAGCTTCAGATGACAACAGCAGAATGAACTTTTCATTGGTATCAGATTGATTCATGTACCGTATCTAGATCTTTTCTAGGCTCGTGACTCTTGTCACGGCCACCACCTACCCACCCGACAACATATGTCGTCAAACACAAATCGTTATGAATAAGCTGTCAAACCACAAAACTTGTGTCTGGCAAGGCATTGTCAAGCCCAGCATGCTTCAGCGTGATCATAGTTCTTCGAGCTGCAGGCCAAGTATGAATCTACTTGGAGTTAGACCCACCGCCCTCCTTCCTCCCCTGCGTCCCCTCCTTAGTAACCTCATCGGGCTCACCCTCCTGTAACTTCTTCTGCCTCTCCTCCTCACGCTTCCTCTCATGCTCCCTAACCATATCAGGCGGGCTATCCTCAATAAGATCGGAATCCCCACTCAGCCCACTCCACTTAGGCAAACCATCCGGGATATCCATAACACGCTGACCGTAGAACATGTGGCAGCGGGGCTTGAAGTACGCCTTGTCCTCGTCGGTCTTGAGGTGCACAAGCGAGGGGAAGAGCAGGATCATATTGCGGCCCTCGTCCATGATGGGCGAGTGGCAGTAGGAGCATCGCACTTTGCAGGGCAGCTTGTGCTCAATGGATTTGTCGGTTGGGTCGTACCATTCTAGGTCGTGGTGGCCGTTGGTGAAGTTGATGTCGTCTTTGTGGAAGATGGCGGCCCATTGGAAGGGTGCGGCTGGGCGGGCGTTAGTACAATCACTCCAACGTGATCACGGAGAGGAGACTTACCGTGTTGTGTCTGGCAGGTGGTGCAATGGCACAGCTTGCTGTCTAGAGGCTCCCTTCGGCTGAGCTGGTACTGAACCTTTCCGCAATGGCAGTTGGCCTCGTACTTGACGTCAAAGTCCTCGTTTTTCTCGTGGACGCGGTAAGGGGGACGCTGCTTCCACTCAGACTTGCCGGTCGTCTCCTGACCGCGGCTCTGGTCCTTCTTAACCTGTTCTTTGTCCATTCTGAAGGCGGATTGGGAGAAAGCGGGATACTGTCGCGTGAGGTGTGAAGCAACTAGTCGGGCACGGGGTACAGCTCTTGAAGTCGTTAGAAGTGGTAGCCGACGGAATGCAATTGAAGCTGCGGACATGAATAGAGACTTGGAGAGGATGTGGTGGTGTTACGTGGGTGGTTTTGATGTTTGCTTGCCGTCATCATCGATGCTTTATTTGGAGAGGCGCGTTGATCTGACGTCACCATGACCACAATTCCGCTACGCGACAACGCGTGCTCTAGATTCTTTATCCCCATTGTGGGCATCGATCGTCAAAAAGAATACGCCCACGCGCCTTTCCGTCAGCGAAAACGCTCAGATATGGAGCCCAGATTTCGCCTTCCAATGCTATGCTTTTGCTACACAATCCCATTCGTCAATCCCTCCCCTAGTGTCCCACTCTCCCGCACTTCATCGCGATCGATCTTGCATCGCGGTTTGCTATGAGCCGTAGCCCATGACCCTGACATCGTTGGTAGCCGTGCATCTGGCAGTAGCCATCGTGTTTCGCCATGTCTGATCTACTAATGATGGGTTTTCAGCTACCGCATCCCCAAAAGCCGGTTGTAGCTGGTATTTGCGCTAACGCACGGAGTGGTTCCGTGCCTAGCGTTCCACAAAGTCTCATCGCAAATAGCTTAGCCTCCTTTCAGTAGCTTTTGAGCTTCTTTGTTGGACAGACCGAAGACATTAATTAGGTAGTCGAGTCTGCCGACGTTGTTAGTACAAGCATTTTGGTCGATTGATCATCTTCACTCACTTGATGTCGCCTGCTATCCGCCTGCGCACAGCCTCGAACTCAACTTCAGCTTTGTCTCTTGTCGCATCCTGCCTCTTCGAATTAATCGTCTTGACACGCAGCTTGAATCTTCCGCTGACAGGACGGTGATCCGAGACTTTGATGGTGTCGTGTCGCCGGTATTCCAACTGCTTGATCCTACCCAAGCCGCGGTACAACAGCCGATCACACCATGCAGGTGATCGCTGCTTCTCAGAAGTATCGTAATTATCAGTCCCCACGTCATACTTGTAAGTCGGAGCAAAGTTGATCGGCATCTCAGTGAACGCCCGCAAACGGAAGCCAGGATTGCGCTTGCGCGACAGGAGCAGCTGATCACGTTCGAGAAGCTTCGCCAAGTTGCCTTGCTGCACAGCAGCGACAACAGTGTTGCGAGGCATCGCGTCGATGCGGTAGTTCAAATCGCCGTTCAAGATACAGATCTCGTGATCCAGAATCATGGAACCATCACCACCTCCAACAAAGTAGTTTGCGCATGAAGTTGGGGAGCGGTTCTTTGGTAGTGGTGCGTTCTCCATGATTGCGGCTGCGTCGTTGTTGCGATGCACTGTTTGCGTCTGACCAGCTGCAAGATGGCAGTTGATAAAGCACAGCGATGAATCGTCGATGAAGAAGCGCACAACAAGCGCACCCTTGTTGCCAACACGACCGCTGAAGCCAAGCTTGATTTCAGCTGCGCATACGTCGCGGATGTTGGCCCGTTCGGAAGCCTTTACAAACACACAGGTGAAAAGACCGACGAGGTTGGCCGTATGCAGGAGTACGTAGTTTTGTTTTGGACTGTACTCGTCCAGGACGCGAACAAGATGGTCTCGCCACGCTCGGTATTGATGTGACATGTGCTCGCTCTCTGATGTCTCTTTGTGCTTCTTTCTTTTGAAGATACTCTTGGCTGTGATCTTCTTGTCTTCCAGATCAACCAGTTCCTGGAAGCCAAACACAAGGATATCAGGCGGATTCTCGGGTTCGAGTATTTCCCGGAAAAAGTTGCGATCTTGCTCTGTATTACGTAGATTTGCGGGTTTGACTGCGCCGGCGTTCCATGTCATGACTCGCGCCGAGAGTTCTCTGAATTCGCAGTACTCGCCATCACGTTGCTGCATTAGATTTTCTGCAGATTGTCAGTATGGCACCACACAATACACACAGTACGACTTACCGAGCCAATCGTCCTTCATCATGCCATCCCAGACGCGCAGCATTGTGTCTGTGCCAAGGGACGCAACCTGGAACCTATCGAGTTTCCAGATGCTCGTACGATCCGCCAAGATGCCCGCTATCGGCTTGTCGTGTGCCTTCCAATCCTTCAACACCTTCCAGGGTGTCGACTTGGTGTCGTACACGTATATCATTCCAGTACTGTAGCCAGCCCAAAGGACGTCACCAACACCGACCAGGGAACTGATCTTGTACACACTGACATTCACGATTCCAAGACATTCGAAGCTCTTCTTGGAGTATATTGTAACTTTCCCGTCTGCGTGTCCAAAGTACATGCGGTCGGGCTGACTGCTGATGATAGCACCGGAGGTTACGTCTCCGACATTGAGTTGAGATAACGAACCCTGGGTTAATTGCTGGAAATGGTTGTTATCCGACGTGCGGGCGTAGACGCGGATGTCTTTCGTCGTGGCTACCCATAATTGCGAGCCTGAGATGATAGAAAAGGTGCTTCCACGGGGAATACGGTAGGTAAGTGGGGTCTGCTGTAGGGACGGACATCCAAACTCGTCAGCTGGCCAGATGTGGAGTACGCCGTCCTCGTCAAGAGACCACATTTCTGCAGCATAGCGGAAGATCTTGACGATCACACTCCTAGCGTGTGCGTTACTCTTAGTATGCACTACACTTTGCGTTGGGATGTCAATCTCATGCATTTCGCCTGTATTCGTTCCTAGCCATAATCGCTTGCCTTCGTCTTCCACATCTTTCGCTGGTCTGAATGCAATCGCTGTGGCTTTGACTGTATCGCCATGAGCTAAGCTCATGAGCAGTCGTCCGTTCAGAACGTTCCATACGTTCGTCACGTATCCGGTTGTACATATGTAATCGCCACAAATTGCAAAGAGCTTAGTCTCGTAGCCGGTGGGGATACCGGCTATGCCGTCTGGGAACACTGGTGGTCTCCGGTTCGCTTGTGAGGAGTCTGGGTAGTCTGTTAAAGCAGTCGTCGGTTGCTTGTCTGCGCCCGTATCTTCTTCATCCGAGTCATAAGTATACGGCTGTGATAGCTGCGATGCCTGCGCAGTAATCGGCTGTGAAGGTCTTCTCATTTCCCCCGAGTTCCGTGGAGGCGGTGGTTTCGGAGGTTCTAACGCTTTTCCGGGACTAGCGGATATGGCACCAGTTGTGTTGGTCCGCCGAGGAGGCGGCATGAACTTGTTGTTCGCTTCTTGCACCATTTGTCCAGGACGGGTTTGATCGAAAGATCGTCGGACTGGCAAATCAGGAGGAGGTGCTCTTTGTAGTTGTACACTCTTCCGCAGATCGAAATTGTCCTTCTCTCGTCGCGTAGGTAACGATGGGCGGTCTTCCGGCATGTCAGTCGGTGATGGTGGCGGCATCGTCTTCTTCAAGGCCTGCTTTCCTACTGGCCGGGGGTCCGCGAATGGGTGGTTTTCGGCGACTGCGTTAGGTGCGGGAGCAGCTGCGAAGTAACCATTGTTGCCTCCAGTCATCTTTGGTTTCGAGAAGCCTGGGATGACTGGTGGAGAAGACTCGCCCTTGACGCTCTCTCCACTACTGCTAGGTGGTGTACTGAAGGGAGAAATGTCTGCAGCGTCTGATGTGGCTTCGGGCGCCAAGTTCGCACGAGCTGGTAAATCCACAGAAATCGACTTTGGTGGAATCTTTGGTTTACCGGCACGATTTACAGGCGGTGGTACGGGAGGCGCAGAGGATACCGGTCGATCATCCTTTCGCGGGTCATTGGTGGGGCCGTTGCCTGTGTGGGTTGGAAATGTAGGTTTCGCGTCCGTAGCGGGGGTGCCATTGCGACTGGGCATTTTGAAGAACCTCTTTCCGGCAGACACTGCTGAGGGCGAATCCAGCGCGGCGTGCTGGGCAGGTCGCTCGGGCTGCGGCGAGAGTATGGGAGAAGCGGAGGACTTGGGCGGTGATCTTGGTGACTGGACCGTAACCTTTGGTGGGGACCTTGTTGGTGACCTGGGCGGAGAAAAGGCCATCATCGACGTTGGCCTCTGCTTTGTATTGCCCCAGAGCGACCTTCCGAGGGTGTTGGAGCGCGGAGTCACTGTCCCACTCCCACTGTAGTCGGCCACACTGGGCGAGGGTCTCTCAGCATAGTCTCTGGGCATGTCCAAGGATATGCGCCCGTCCGTCCTCCTGTTGTCCTCGGGCATAGCAAGGCGATCATTGGGGCCGGGCGAGCGTTGTCGCGGAGTGGCAGGCGCGGCGGGTTTGTTTGTACTGAGGAGGTTCTCGAACTGGGCGCGAAGGGAAGACACTGGCTTCTGTGCTGGGCGTCAGCAACATGTTCTTGCTGGGAAAGAGCTACTCACTATGGACGAGTCGTCCATGTTCTCCTCCTGCTGGTTGTCCATGATTATTGTTTTGTCGTCAGCCGGCACCGGGAGGTATCCTATAGCTGCGCATCGACCAGTGAGGTCTTCTTCCCATTTGGCGCTTCGTGTGAGGGTGGAAGGGGAGGCTGTCGCTCGCGGGCCGTCATGCAGCCAGCGCTACGGAGGCAGGATCCAGAAATAGCCTGTGCAGTAGTGTTTGTGGTAGTGGATACGGTGGCGGTGCGATGTGGTAGAGGCCCGAGTGACTGTAGGGCTCCCTAGCGGAGACGCGTATACTGGCTGCTAAGAATGTTCGGCGACAGGGAAGACCGGCGACAGCGCGGGGGTGCAGGTGTTTCGCAACTGTCGGAACGCAACGGCTATCGCGACTGCTCTCCGTGTGTGTGTACGGTCAGGTGACGTTCCGGTTTGCAGGCGATGCCCGTGGACAGAGGCTCTTCAGGGCTGCGTTGGGCGCGGGCGGCTTGGAGCGGTGTTGTCGTGTCTTGCTACTGTCATTCCCCACAGCGCAGCAGCACGGAACCCTGCACACCACCGACGGCAAGGCGATCAGGCACCGGCGAATTATAGACGAGCATACAAAACGCCAAACTAGCCAGCCTGCAGCCGTCAGTTTGTACTCCCATAGCGCCGTAGTCTCCCTTCACCGACACCAGCCATGTGGTAAGCACGCGTTTCTTGTCGCCTTGAGACTCCCCCGCCATGACCTCCGCGGCTGGCTGATGCCCATGTAGCAGACACGTCCTCAACGCCCAGGTCTCCATCCGCTCGCCTTGCTGTACGTCGCCCGTGCTGAGATGTATGCGATGAATGCTGAGAAAGAATAGGCAAGAAATGGTTCGACTGCGCCGAATGTCACCAGGAGCAGAGCGACCACCCGCTCATGCAGACGTTTGACATGGTCTTCATCTGCAAAAAGTGCAAGAAGGCCTTCCGCAAGGATGCGCGCGAATTCGAAGACGCGTAAGAATGGATTGTGTATTTTTCATGTGGCGCTGGCTGATGAGTGGTAGCGACGAGTACTGCCCGCACTGCGACAACCACTTCGTTCTAGAGGCCAAAACTCCCAAGGCGTCGCTGCAAGTCGAGGGCGAGGATGTGCGAAAGGACGCCAGGCAGGTCGGCTCCCTGGTTAGTGACGGAATATTGCTAACATTCATGCAGGATGCTCAAGGACGAACGTGTACGAGCCGAAGAGATGCGCACCATATTCGATGTCAAGGAAGCACCGGACAAGTTGGGCTGAACCAGTGGGACACCGCGACATACAGTACTATGCGTAGCACAAGCTACAAACCCGTAGGGCGGGGGCCCTCACCCAAGAACATCACGCGACGAGCGAGGGGTTGGACGTGGAAAGACACTTCATGGTGTGCTAGATTGCCATTTGTGAGCACTAGCTGGTCGTATCTGCGTTATACAGAATCATAAAGTCTATCACCCGACGCCACTGCTGTTCATGCCTTTTCGCCATCAGTCGTTAACCATGCCTCTACGCGCCACCGGATCCTGAGCCCTCAGCTGGGGTCTGGCGGGTGAGAATAGCGGCCTGGCCTGTACCGGGCTGCCGTCCAGGCCTCCTGTTCGCCGCCTCTTCCTGCTTCTCTGTGTTGATGTTCTCCACGTACTTCTCAATGTCCTCGACGGGCAACATCTCGATGGGCTTTCCGGGTGCCATGATGGCAATCTCGATGTTCTTCGCGCCAGTCTGCACCACCTCCAATAGTGACTTGACCGTCAATTTGATTGTCTCTTCCCGGTCCATCCCTTCCTTGTGGTTACGTTCGAGGAACTCGCGGACTGTCTTGCTCGACCGACCGATCGCATTTGCTTTCCTGGGTCATATTAGCACAGAGAAATGTAGCTTTGTGTATTCAACCTACCATGCTGAGTAGATACCAGAAGGCTCGGTCTGGTACAAGCGCGGGGTCTTGTCGTTGGGGTCGAAGCCGACTATCAGTGTGCTAATACCGAACGGTCGGACACCACCACTCTGGGTGTACCTCTGCTGCACACCTGCAACGTACTTGGTGATGTACTCTATCGATACCGGGTCTTCGACTGTGAGGCGATGTGATTGTGCTTCGAGGCGGGCCTTGTCGACAAGGATACGGGCGTCGGCGTTCAGTCCAGCGAAGGCAAGGGCAACGTGGGTGTCGACGAGGCAGATCTTGGAGGGTGTGATGCGGGTATCTTGCAGCTTCATTGCGGATCGCTTCTCGCAGCCGAGTACTACTATGTCCGAGCCCTTGACACCAACGGCGCATGTTCCTGCGGCGAATGAGCATCTGACCTTCGCTTTCTCCTTCGTGTACTACGCACCTCGCTTTACTGCTTCGAGCGCATATTCGACCTGGAAGACGTGACCGTCAGGACTGAAGACTGGCGGAGTTAGCTAGGCCCGCATCTCCATGTGTTGGTTGTTTGTACCGGACAGAGCTCGATCGTAGCCGGACGCCATTGTGAAAGTAGATGTATGGTAATATGTAGGCTCCTCGTTGTTTGCTTGTATACGGCGACGATGGCTAAGAAAAAGCGGCTGGGCAAAGAGGTACGGCTGTCGTCAAGTTGCTCGCGGAACTCCAGAGCTGTCCGCGTCGCTGCTCCCGCCTAAACTACGCCAAGCCATCTGGCCCGTGCTTACCCTGTCGAATTAGGTCATCATGGTAGATATTCGTGAAGGCGACTTGGTTATTTCCGCCGCCCGTCGCATTTCTTCTCCGGTCAATTGGGATGGCATCTTCAGCGCGCTTGGTCTCGTCACTGCGACGAACTGCACTCTCTTCTCGCGCCGCATCACGCTGTCAATATTTGCGACCAACAAGTCAAGTGCGATGGACGGGTAGTACGTCAGCGACTTCGGAGCCTCACCAGCCAGACGAAAATGGCGGAGTGAAAGGCCCAACCGCGTCGTCAAAATCCATCAAGTTCACTTCCGAGTCGTATGTGTTGAGGTTTGAATTTTTTGAGGGATATGCTAACGCTGCGCAGATACCCGCACCTTCAAAGAGACTCCAAGTTCGCCAAAGTCAGCGAGGAGCATGTAAAATATTTTCGAGAGCTTCTAGGTTCCGATTCGGCCATCATAGATGGTGTGTCGAAAGATGCATCGGATGATATTGAAGCCTTCAACAGCGACTGGATGCGCAAGTTCCGTGGCCACACCAAACTAGTCTTGAAGCCCAGTTCCACGGAAGAAGTCAGCAAGATCCTCAAATACTGCAATGACAACATGCTCGCCGTAGTACCTCAGGGTGGCAACACTGGACTTGTTGGTGGCTCCGTGCCTGTGTTTGACGAGATCGTGATCAACATGCAGAGAATGAACGAAATCAGGTCCTTCGATGAAGTATCTGGTATCCTCGTCGCTGATGCTGGCGTGATCTTAGAGAATGCCGACAACTTCCTCGCCGAAAAGAACCACATCTTCCCATTGGATCTTGGTGCTAAGGGCTCTGCCTACATTGGTGGCAATGTCGCGACAAATGCCGGTGGTCTCCGTCTTTTGCGGTACGGTAGCTTCCACGGAAACGTCCTAGGCATTGAGGCAGTCCTTCCGGATGGTACCATTGTAGACGACCTTTCGACGCTCCGGAAAAACAACACTGGTTACGACCTGAAGCAACTGTTCATCGGCGGAGAAGGCACAATTGGCATCATCACCAAGGTCTCAATTATCTGCCCGAGAAGGTCACCCGCCGTCAACGTCGCGTACTTCGGATTGGAAAGTTACGAGCAGGTCCAGAAGGCGTACATCGAGGCGAAAGGGCACCTATCTGAGATCCTATCAGCCTTTGAGCTGATGGATGGTCGCACACAAAAGCTGGTCAACAGGGTCACCGGTAAGAAGATGCCTCTAGAGGGCGAACATCCTTTTTACTGCCTGATTGAGACCAGCGGGTCTAACGCCGAGCATGACGGCGAGGTAAGCAATTTCATGGTACGAACGGAACTGGCCACTAACCTGTCTAGAAATTGCAAGCATTCCTTGAACATGTGATGGAGACCGAAGTGGTCTCCGATGGTGTTCTCGCCGAGAACCAAACTCAGATTCAAGAGCTCTGGTCATGGCGCGAAGGCATCACCGAGTGCCTTGGTCACGATGGAGGTGTCTACAAGTACGACTTGTCGATACCCATCGCTGAGCTCTATGATCTGGTCAACGAGACACGTGATCGCTTGACAGAGGCTGGACTGCTTGGTAACGACGCCTCGCACCCCGTAGTTGACGTCGTTGGATACGGTCACATGGGCGATGCCAACTTGCACCTCAACATCCCAGTCAGGAAGTTTGACAAGGCTGTAGAGAAGAAGCTCGAGCCATTCGTTTACGAGTGGGTACAAAAGCGTAATGGCAGCATCAGTGCCGAGCACGGCTTGGGAGTGACGAAGAAGCCGTATATTGGATACAGTAAGAGTGAAACCATGATCAAGCTGATGAAGCAGATCAAGGATCTATACGACCCTGTAAGTGACTACTCCAGGTTGATGTCTTTTCATCATGTGCTGACTACGACAGAACGGCATCATGAACCCGTACAAGTACATATAGAAAGAATTTGCGGGACTTCCTGTAGACCATCCATATCCACATCTTTGCCACTTTTTCACATCTTGCTCTTCCTTTTTTGCAGCAACTTAACCGCATTACCCTGATAGATCGCATCTCTCTCCTTTTCTCCAAACAAACTCTCCAACCCGTCCTTCATCCTCTCTGCAAACGCCTTCACAAACTGCGTCTGCGTAAAAGGAAAATCACTCCCATACAACAACCTCTCATACGAGATCTCGAACCCCTCAACAAACGCCTTCAACTGCCCCTGCCCCCCACTCTCTCCATCAAACACAAACCCCGCGAGATCAAAGTAAAACTGTGTATCGAGCTGCTTCCGCACCGTCGACGCATTCAACACCCTCCCGCCCGGCACCACGCTGGAGAACTGAATAAACCGCGTCATAAGCGGCGGTAATGCACCACCAGAATGCGGAATTATGAACTTGATGTTCGGACACCGGTCCACCGTCCCCGTGCTAAAGAGATTGATGACCGCCCTGGCAGTATCGAAAAAGAACTCAAAAATAGGCACGGGGTATTGCTCGCCGAACGGAAGCGCGTCTGTCGTCTGAACCGGTTCACCAGAACTCCTAACGCAAGGTTTAGTCGGATGAATGAAAACCGTCGCACCAATCTCGTTCAACTTGTCAAACACCGCGTCCATCGCTCCATCTCCCACGTAAACCCCATGGTAATTCGTCAGTAAGCCAAAGCCCTCGACTCCTTCCTCCACACACTTCCCCATCTCCGTCAAACTCGCGTCAACATCCGGTAATGGCAGTGCAGCCCAAACACCAAACTTCTCTGGGTGTTGCTGCTTGAGAGATGAGGCATAGGCGTTACATTGCCGTGTTAGATCGATTGCTAATCCCGGATTGCGCAGGTTGATGTTTGTCCCCGGGCTGGAGATGGACAGGATGGATTTAGAGACGTTGGCTGTTTCCATCATTTCTAGGTGTTGGGGTGGAGACCACGAGGGGATTGCGGGCATGCCGTCGGGGTACGAGTGGCCATTTTCGGCGAGGGCGGTGCGATAGAAGGGTGGGAGGAAGTGCGAGTGGACGTCTATCCTTTGGGGAAGGGGGTGTGTCATGTTGGCTATGATTGTGGTTGTGTGTGTTAGGAGAATGATTAGGCTGGGGATGGATGGGACCATTGTGGTGGTACCTTCAGAAATTCAATCCTGTAAAGATCAAATTAAGCACAAATATGCGGTGAGATTGAGTTCGGCTCGACTCGTCGCTCTTGTCAGAAGCAACGAATGCAATGACTACTTATGCAATGCAAGTTACTGCACCTGCATCAAGTGATGGGTTGGCATCCGGGACCCCGCCCCGACAGTTGTACGTACAGGGTGAGAGCATGTTGATCCTCGTGCGCCTCGTCCATTGATGAATTGTGAATTAGTGTGAAGCTTCTGGGATATATGATAGTATCGCGCGCAGAAGATGACTGAGCGACTGAACTACGCGGAATGAAGGCTGCTGTTCTTGTACGACACTTTCCATCTGAATGCCTGGTCAACGTGGGCAACAGTGTAAATGAAGCTATTGCCGATCTTGCGTTCAACACCGTGTAGCTTTCACTGATAGTGACTCCATTGTCGGATAGTCGTGTCGGTGCTTCCTAATGCCCAATGTGGCACGCATGCGCCGATAAAGGATAATGATCCTGACCGTCGATCGTGTGCCCCACCCGCGCCTTCCAGATGAGCGGCGGGTCAACTTTTTGTTTCCATCACTTGCAGCCATGACACAACGTCGTCCGCCACACCACCTTTCCCTCTACCCTCGGTCGCGCCTTCACGATGGAGAGGATTACGGATAAGATCAATGCGCTGCCTGATGGCGCCAACTACTTCTCGCTCGAGTTCTTCCCGCCCAAGACGGCCATGGTGAGTTTGCCCCGCTCGCACGCAACGAATGTGGAGGGCCGCAGTATGGATAGGGAAAGAACATCGCGAAAGAAGAATCGGCCGCTAATGGCTCTCTAGGGATTTGCGAACCTCCAAACACGTTTGGAGCGCATGTCGCAGGCTCTCCGACCTCTCTTCGTTACCGTTACCTGGGGTGCCGGCGGATCCACAGCCACCAAGTCGCTCGAACTCGCAGAGATATGCCAGCGCCAATTGGGCCTCACAACATGTCTACATCTTACGTGCACGAATATGAACCGCCAGCTCATCGACGACGCGCTCGAACAGGCAAAGGTGCTGGGCATACGGAACATCCTGGCGCTGAGGGGTGACGCGCCACGGAGCGACGAGTACAGGGATGAGGGAACGCCGCCGGAACAAGACTCGAATAAGGACTTCACTTGGGCAATCGATCTGGTCAAATACATCCGGAAAGAGTACGGAGACTATTTCTGCATCGGTGTCGCTGCCTATCCAGAAGGTCACTCGGATCAGAGTCATCCCAAAGATCAAGATCCGCTGCACGACCTGCCATACCTGATCGAGAAGACCAAGGCTGGCGCAGATTTCATCATGACCCAGCTCTTCTACGATGTTGAGGCGTACGACAAGTTCGAGAAGATGCTGAGGGAGCACGAGAGCGGAGTGTTCAAGACGATACCGATCATACCGGGGCTGATGCCAATCCAATCGTACAAGATCTTGCTCAGGACAACGAAACTATCGCATGCGAAGCTACCGTCGGATATGCTGAAGCGACTGGACGCGGTGAAGAGCGACGATGAAATGGTGAAGCAAGTTGGCGTCAAGATTATGGACGAAATGGTGGAACACATCAAGGCGCGGCCGGATACTTGCAGGAGAGGTTTCCATTTCTACACGCTGAATCTGGAGAAAGCCGTGTCGCACATCGTGGAAGACACTCACCTCATACCATCGACTATCGAAGACGACGACGATGTCATTGTCGAGACCACGCCCGCCATCAATCTTGAGCCACCACCGAACGGCATAATGCCGCGCAGGCGACGATCATCAGCTGTTAACTCCGGCCCACACAACAGAGTGATAATATCACACCCGTCCGCGGCCAAGTCAAGCAATCACTCGTATGAAGCTACGGAGGAGGAAGCTGGTGTACCAAGGGGTCCGATCAACACCCGAGCGAACACACTGGCAATATCAGAGGGCGAGGGTTCGCTGGGCCGTGAAGCAACTTGGGACGACTTCCCCAACGGTCGTTGGGGTGATGCACGTTCGCCTGCCTTTGGTGAGATTGATGGTTACGGTCCAACACTCCACGTCTCAACCCCGCAAGCTCTCAAGCTCTGGGGTCACCCAGTCGAGAAGGATGACATCTCGAAGCTCTTCCGCCGCCATATTGAAGGAGATCTGGAAGCTATACCCTGGAGCGAACAAAGTCTGTCTCCTGAGACTCTAACGATCAGCAAGCAGCTGCTCGCCCTCAACGCAAAGGGCTGGTGGACAGTCGCCTCACAGCCTGCCGTCAACGGCGTCAAGTCCACTGACCCCGTCTTTGGCTGGGGCCCCAAGAACGGCTACGTCTTCCAAAAGCCTTTTGTCGAGTTCTTCATTCCCGCCTCCGAATTCGCCACCCTCAAACCCAAGCTTGATGCTCACGACCAAGTCACCTACTTCGCCGGTAACGCCGCCGGAGAGTTCCAAGCTAGTCAAGAAGATGGTGTGAACCCTGTTACTTGGGGCACGTTTGCAGGCAAAGAAATTGTTACGCCTACTATCATTGAGGCTGTCAGTTTCAGGAGTTGGCTTGACGAGGCGTTTAGCATCTTCAGGGAGTGGCAGAGGATTTACCCGCCGAGAAGTGCGAGCAGTACACTGCTTGGAAAGCTGCGGCAAGATTATTGGCTTGTTAATGTTATTTGGGGTGATTTTGTCAATGGTGAGGGGTTGTGGGAGTTTTTGGAACAGTAGCTTGTATTGTAGATGTAACTGCGGAAGCCTTTTGAAGCTTAGGTATCGTGAGCGCATTTCAATCTTTCCATTTGCCGTTCTTTCCCTGTTCAGATCCCTGATAATGCTTAGCGACACCAGCCCTTCCACCTTCCAAGGTCTGCATGCAGAAGGGCGGCGTAGTTTCGCGCCCGCCAATCCTTCCTTCATGCGTCGACATATGCAAGGCTGCAACGCCACTTCCCTGACATGGAGGTAAACCTGCACTGGGAGAGAAGCATCCCGACCCCGCTTTGCAAGGCTTCATCAACACGTGTCTATCCACCCCGTTCTACTTCTCTTCCCAAGGTCATCCCGCACTACTACACTACATTGGTTGCCACCAACCTCGCTTTTATTGCGGCACCAAGCAATGTCTTATAACAACTCATCAAATTCAGCCTCTCTTCGAGTTCCAAACGCTGGCAGAATCAAAAAGCTCAGACGGAAGGGGCCCGTTTCGCGACATAAGTCCCCGCGCTCGCGGCCACACGATTCAGACTCGGACGACACTCATATAGGAGACGATGAAGCTCTGGGACGCTTGGCATTGATCTTCTCGAGAAAAGAGAAGTATCGTCAACACAAGAGCTTGGGGTCCAATGACGACGACGAAATGGAAGATGACGATAACGACGACGAAAAGCCCAGCCTACAACCAGCCGCCGCCGCTTGGAAGCGCATGTCCAATGGTCAATCTCATGTCGAGTGGGCACGCGAAGATGTACGTCCGTTCTCTATAGGCCAGAGACTGGGTAAGGGCGGTGTCGGAGTCGTTCATGAGACACACATTGGTGGTGTGTCAGTGGCCTTGAAACTCACCCACACGCGTCGAATGGATCCTCAGATCCTAAATGAGATCAAGATCCTCGGTCGAATGTCACAGAATCGCCACCGTCACGTTGTGGAACTAATTGGGTCTTACGTGCAGGAGCAGCAAAGAGGTGGCTATGAGATTGGCATGTTGATCTGGCCAGTCGCTCACACAGATCTTGCGGCGCTGCTTCACGATGTTAAAGTTCTGTGGCAACAGTACTGCGATGATTTGATCGACAGTGACGGTGACATCCTGCCGGAACCAGCAAGCTCAGTAGTGGAGAGAATTCGTACGGCGATGGAGCCACTTCTCCCCCTCACCTATCTGAATAAGCACCACCATCATATCAATCTGGCTCAGGAGGTCCAGTCAATCTTGTTCGGGATGTGCGGAATTCGTCTCAGGCACAGTTTGGGCTGCATAGCCAATGCTGTTGCCTATCTCCACACAAACCGGATCCGCCACAAGGATCTCAAACCCTCCCAAATACTCCTCTCACCTCAAGGTCTCTGGCTAACCGATTTCGGTTGGTCTGCAGATATGTCCGAGCATAGTACCAGCGTTACCAGTGGCGGTGATCAAATTACTGCCAAGTACCAAGCACCGGAACGAGCGAATCGACAGCCATGCGGACGGTCAGAGGATATCTTCTCTTTAGGATGCATATATCTTGAGATCGCTTATTGCATGGCTTTATTGGATCCAGATGTTCCACGTCCTTGGCTTCAAAAAGGGTGGTCATTCCAGGCGAACCTGAACCAGATGCAAGAGTGGATGAAGCCCTTGGGTTACCCCAGATATATACCGAATCCCAAATGGGACAGTCGTCAAATTACCGTGCTCATTATGGAGTTACCAGTGCTTCTAAAGCCAATGCTGGCAGCTGCTAGCAACGATCGCCCCTCTATCCAAGATATCGTAGACTCGCTTTCCACGCCTTTCGTCGAATCGAGTGGGGCTACGTTTACCGGCGAGTGTTGTGCACCACTCATGCGCATCGAAAGTTCATCAGAAGAGTCGATGTCCGAGGATTCGGACAACGAAATAGGAGACACTATCGCAGTCATGCCGTACGACAAAGCAAAATCCTGATGACCAGGCTTTAGTCTGAGGCAAAAGAGACACTCTGTTCTTGTTCCTGGGAAACTGACGGCTAGGCATCAGATCAGGCATCACAGTTGCCTTGTCCAAACGCTCGTCCAGTCATGATTACGTTAGTTATAAGTCACCGAACCTTCGCCGGGCTACCGGTGAGCACTGAAGACCCGGCACGGGCTGGAACAGCGGCACGGTGTTCAAACCCTAAAGATAGCGATCTCCAGCAATAGAGAAGCACCAGTTCTTTCCTTCGTGAGTGGATGCACAGTGTATTTGTTGGCTTGGCCATATCATCCGAATTGTAGGGTTGAGTGGCAAAGAGGGTGGAATCACTGAAGACTAGAGCATATTCGCGTTCACTGTGACCAAGGGTAGACTGACGTGTGGAAGGTCGGATTGGAACAGCGATATCGTATCGACGCACTATTTCATTTAGACTACAATCTTAGTAGTTCAGCCGCATGCATGAGAACCCCCTAATTTACATAACTTTCACATACATTCCCATCCATACGGAGAGGCATGCTTGTAAACACAACTCCCTAACGCCAGCCATGCTTGATTTGATGGCTTACTGACTTTCCGAGGTGAAAAGTAGATGCCAAACACGAGAACAATGCTCGGATGAAGAACAAGAAGATGGTGCAATAGCACCAACAAAAATGCAACGCTGTATGACTTACAATGATAGTCCTCAATCCAGATTAGCATCGCCGTCTGGTAGCGTTCTGTGCTTGAAGATACCGGAATCGAAGGATTCATGCGGGAAGAAGGACCCGAGGGGCTTTTGTGTACGAGGAACGACAAGGTGACAGTGACGTACGTGCCGAAGCAATGCGACCGCTCACAACATGCCCGCGGCAGCCAAGTCGCGGTAGACCTTCTCGGGCATGACGTTGCCTTCGTTGTCCTCCATCTCGACAACGTTCTCAGCAAGCAATTTCTGTTTCTTCTGGTCCTTCTGGATCTTGCGCCACAGCTCCTCGGCCTCCTGTATGCTTGTGATCTCTCGGAAGAGGGTAGTGTTGGTGATGCCGAGACACTTGAGACCGTGGATGTGGCGGGGTTCGTTGAAGTGCTTGTCAAATGCGCGTCTGCCCATGTATACGAAGTTTCCGCAAATCTCGCAGGGGAATTCGACGCCCAGGCCGTGGAGCTTGTACAGCCAGAAGGGAATAGGCTTGCCGTCCCAGGCGAGTGGTAGCTTGAGCGGGTTATAGATCTTGTCTTCGCTGTCGGACTCGTTGTCCTCCTTTTCTCCGCCGTTCTCGGGCTGCTCTGCGTACAATTGCTCCAGCTCTTGTTGTCGCTCGCGCTCGGTCATACCCTGCTTCCGCTCGACGTTGACCTTGGTGTCGCCGCGCTCCGTCTGCATGGCTGCAGCGAGCTTCCGTATCCTGAACTCGCGCTCGGCGACTGCTCGCTCCTTGAAGCGTTGCAAGTCTGAGGAAGCACCGTTCGCCTGCTTTTCAGCATCCTGCGCACCGTTCTGACTCTCTTGTAGCGCCTTCTTGTGTTTCTGGCCTGACAAATGTGCTTCGTAAACAGTCTCTTTCGAGAAGCCTTTCTTGCAGGCTGAGCACCAGATGCCCTCACCCTGCGCCTCACCGTTGACCGGTGCAGACGCCGTGGATTTCTTCTCCCAGCCTGGAACTGCATCTATCTCCCATGCCTCCTCAAACTCCTTGTCAAAGCTGGTAAAGAGCTTGTCTAGGTTCTCCAGCGGCTTCGTCCGTCGCATGAAGCTCTCAAGGTAATCTTGCAGCGCTTTCAGGTAATGGAAATAGGCCTCTGATTTCTTCTGCTCACGCCGAATGTTGCATTGCGGAGGGGTGAAGATGTCGAACTTGTCGAGGTACTCCAGATAGGTCAGGCGGCGCGCGTTTTGCTGAACGGGAAGGTTGAGGTACTGCTCGTGCAGAGTCGTCAAGTCGAAGAAGCGACCAAAACCCTCCTCGCCGGTGAACATGGAGTCAATGGCTGCGATGGATGCCGTGTGGTCTTCGGGTGAGCGTTTCTTGTAGGCCTTCTCCAGGTTCTCGACAGGCTCGTTCGGGTATCGGCTGTGGAAGTCCTTGATGGATGTGATCTCCTTCATGAAGGACTCCATGGGGTCGCCGTGGGTGAGACCGCGCACCTCGTCCTCCTTCTTGCTGTCCTCATCCTGGTAGATCTTCAGTAGGCGGCTCGACTGGCTCTCGATCTGCTCCAGGAATCGCGCAATGTCGTGGTCACGTGCGAGGCGATCGCGAATCTGATGAGATGTTAGCACGCAGTTCGCGACGGACGCGAGGGTAATGCCTACATGCGGGGGGTCTTCTAGGAGTCGCTCGGCAGCGGCGTCCTCGAGGCGCTCGAGGTCCTCGTGGAGTTGGCGCTGATCTTCCAAAAGCATGCTTGCGGTCGCCTAGAGTAACTATGAGTCTTGGTATAGCAGCGGTTCGGTAGTAGATGTGCAGACCTTTGCGGCGGTGACGATATCGAGCTGGTGGTGGAGCCTGTCGCGGCGACATAAATCGCAGAACGCGCTAGTCAACGGGGCTAGCGCGCCGAGGCTCCGGCCCTCCGCAAAGCTGAGGCGCAACTGCTCCAAACTTTTGCACATCGCGAACGACTCGAAAACTACCAATCACCCATACCAACCCCGGCTTCACATTCAAGATGGCGGACGGAATCGACCGAAATGCGGACGACAAGATCGAGTTCTCCACCTCCAAGGAGGTCACGGTCGCGCCTACCTTCGAGGCCATGCACCTGAAGGAGAACTTGCTACGCGGTATCTACGCCTACGGATACGAGTCGCCCTCAGCTGTGCAGTCGCGTGCTATTGTCCAAATCTGCAAGGGTCGCGACACCATCGCCCAGGCGCAATCCGGAACAGGAAAGACCGCGACTTTCTCGATCTCCATCCTCCAGGTCATCGACACGGCTGTGCGCGAGACACAGGGTACGTGATATCAGATTGGAGGTGTTGGACTATGCTAATCAGATGTAGCACTCGTACTATCACCCACTCGCGAACTTGCAACCCAAATCCAGCAGGTTATCATGGGTCTCGGCGATTACATGAACGTGCAATGCCATCCTTGCGTCGGAGGAACAAACGTCGGCGAGGATATCCGCAAGCTCGACTATGGCCAGCACGTTGTCTCTGGAACCCCAGGACGTGTAGCCGACATGATTCGCCGCCGCAACCTCCGCACACGCAACATCAAGATGCTCGTTCTCGATGAAGCCGACGAGCTCCTCAACCGAGGTTTCCGCGAGCAAATCTACGATGTCTACCGCTACCTCCCACCTGCGACCCAAGTCGTTGTCGTTTCAGCCACCCTCCCATACGACGTGCTCGAGATGACAACTAAGTTCATGACGGACCCCGTGCGCATTCTGGTTAAGCGCGACGAATTGACGCTAGAGGGCCTCAAGCAATACTTCATCGCTATCGAGAAGGAAGAGTGGAAATTCGACACCCTGTGTGATCTCTACGACACACTTACCATCACACAAGCAGTTATCTTCTGCAACACGCGCCGCAAGGTAGACTGGTTAACGGACAAGATGCGCGACGCCAACTTCACTGTATCCTCCATGCATGGAGAGATGCCGCAGAAGGAGCGAGACAGCATTATGGCAGACTTCCGTCAGGCCAACTCTCGCGTGCTCATCTCGACCGATGTGTGGGCGCGTGGCATTGACGTGCAACAAGTGTCGCTCGTCATCAACTACGATCTACCATCAAACCGTGAGAACTACATCCACAGGATTGGTCGAAGTGGACGATTCGGACGCAAGGGTGTAGCCATCAACTTTGTCACTCAAGATGACGTTCGCATCCTCCGTGACATTGAGTGTAAGTACTATTCAGCTTTTTCTTCAGACATCCGCTAATCCTCATAGTGTACTACTCTACCCAGATTGACGAAATGCCCATGAACGTTGCGGACCTCCTCGCGTAGAATCTCTCGAGCAGAATGTGTACGCATTGCATGCGATCGAACACGGGGCACAGCAGAGATTCACGCTCATCGTACTGAGGTCACAGAGACTCTCACTCAAGGGACACGCCCGCTTCGGCGGCGAATTGGAAGTGGAGGAAGGGGCTCTTTAGCCGAACAGTAAGCCTACCTCTGTCACAAGGCTTCTGTCACCTGGCTAACTTTGCGACTCTGACCAGAACGAAATTGTAATCAATACCCATAACGTACTCACAATTCATGAGACCGATGACCAGCCGATAAATCGTGGTGGTGGTACCTCCAAGATCAGATCTGGTTCCGATCATCGCTATCGTGATACAATGATTGGCAGTTTGCGATATATTCATGACACACGGGTCCGATCACATACTCTTTCAAATCCAACAAATACTCTTCTGCCATGTCACGACATATCCGCAATTCTACGAGGAAGGAAATATGTTGAGTTCAACGCTCTTAGCAGCTGGACCCGCAATCTCAATGCAAGATCTCGCTATCCTAGCGGAAGTAATTAAAGATGGCCTCACTCTGTTATTGAGCTGCCCAACGGGTCCAATGGTTTGTTTCCGCTATAGTATGATTCGCAGCACATCCTCGTGCGTATTTTTATCATCAATAGGTCTTCTCTTTTTCTAGTAGCAGACTCAATCGCCTGGCTGATGCGATAGTGCACCCTCTGAGGTAACAATCAATACGATTGAGATAGCAGCGCTGTCCCTCTCCATGCAATATGTTGATTCCCCACCGTTGATGCGATACCACGCGAGCTAGCCTTTCCAGCTGCAGTGTCTCAATGCTTTTGCTCAAAGTACAGTGGGGAAGCGGTCGGCTTGTTGGCACAGTGACATTATGCCGCGTATGTTTACCGATAACGTAAGCAATATAACCTGCCACCGAACGCATTGGAGCGAAATATGCAGAGTGGTAGAGACCCTTGGGGCGAATTCGAGGGTGAAGTGTGGCTCAGGGTCCGATTGCGCGAACATGATTCTTCCAAATTGCCCATGCAGAAATGTT